TTCATTTAGCAAGGATGTTTTAAATTGATCAAAAGTGATGATAAAGACATTTATAATGTTACAAAAGATTTCTATTTCAGATAAATGCTGTTCTTCTGAACTTTCTATTCATCAAAGAAACATGAAAAAGATCTACTCCGCTGTTTTCATAATCATAATAAATGTGTTTTGAGCAGCAGATCAGAATATTAGAGTGATTTCTGAAGATCATGTGACTGGAGTAATGATGCTAAAGCTCTGCTTTGAAATCACAGGAATACATTATATCTTCAAATAGAAACCAGTTATTTTAAATAGTACAAATATTTCAAAATGTTACTGTTTTTGCTGTATTTTGGATCAAATAAATGCAGGCTTGGTGAGCAGAAGAGAATTCTTTAAAACACATTAATAATCTTACTGTTCAAAACTGTTGACTGGTGTGTTAGACTATAGTTTGAAGTAAAATATTAATATTAATAAGGAGAGTGAGATTTATTTGGCAGTGATTTCACATTTCTTGTTTGTATGAAGGCTGAATACCAATAAAAGGTGAACATTTATTTATTTGCGCCATTTTCTTCCTAAACTATTATATAGTTTTATAGGTTTCATAGAGTTGGCAAATACATTTTTCATGAGTTTGTGTGCACAGACATCTGTTGTGGCCGTTCTTGGCCGTGTTTAATGAGGCTTTTTTAACAGTGTTCATATCGATATTGCATTATATCGTATCGACCGAAATGAAGAAATATATCGTGATATAAATGGCCATATCGTCCAGCCCTACCGTGAGACGTTCTGAACCCAACCCCTCGTACTCACACATAACACCGTCTGCACGCCGTCTGGAGAGTCAGGCCACGCCAACCAGCCTAAACACAGACATTCAGGAACGTCTCATTATTTCACCATTAAAAAACATTAAACAGTTGTAGTGTGCAATATAATAATAAGAGGGGAAAAGGGCAATATGAACTGTTGTACTGTGCAGTGAATCACAGCACATTGTGCAAGAGCTAGACAGAATAGCTAAGCTTAACATTGATGTATGGTTTGTTAGGATAGCACAATATGTGAAAATCTGGAATCTGAGGGTGCAAAAAAATCTAAATATTGAGAAAATCATCTTTAAAGTTGTTCAAATGAAGTTCTTAGCAATGCATATTACTAATCAAACATTAAGCTTTGATTTATTTACAGTAAGAAATGTACTAACTATATTCAAGGTACATGATCTTTACTTAATATCCTAATGATTTTTAGCATAAAAGAGAAATGTATAATTGTGACCCATACAATGTATTGTTGGCTATTGCTACAAATATCCCCCAGCGACTCAACACTGCTTCTGTGCTGCAGGGACACATACTTCTGAACATGTGTTTAACTACAAACAGAACCACGTGGGTTACAGTAACTGGCTATCATGGCAACATCGCTTCAGATATGCAGTACACTGTATACATTACACTCATGAGCACCGTGTTGTTGCAGAGCTGCACGCTTGATGAAGGTCACTACACACTGCTGTTAACACATTACTAACACTGGCGAGACCGCACCTTCCTGATGAGAGCCCTGCTGCGGCATTCCTGAGACACGCTCCTCGCCGCGGACAACATCTCAGACTCATGTATCGCTAAACGCAGATGACACTGAGGGAGAGGTCGTTGTAAAGCCGCTGAAAGTTAATGAGATGAGCTCTGGTGGTCAAACTCAGGCCCTGTGCTGTCAGTGGCGCTAGAACTCACAACACGTGCGCGTCCCGAAGGACCTCATAGCAGCTCGCACAGCGCCTGAACAGAAGACCACAGTCCAACTGTTTAATGCAGTTATTCGCTGTGTGTTATGTGCTATTGTTGTCTAAAATTATATTAATCTGACACAAACATAGGATTAAATCATATTTGAATGTCAAAATTAAATAAGGCATGCATGTAGACATCAAAGACTGCATTAGCAAACTCAATAATGTTTATGAGATTTTAAACAACAATTGTATTGTTTTTTTGTGAAAATAGTTCATAATCAGAGTTGAACCTTTAAGTAACAGAACTGTAAAGTAACAGAATTATCCAGTGGACTGTCAGCACTGTTACTCTACCTTGGTAGGTAACAGAATTGACAATTTTATTCATTTTTTTGCCAAAAACTATAAAAAAACTAAAAATATTTTCTTAGAGAGAGCACATAGGCTTTTCAGATCTTATTTCATTAATGATTGTATTATAATTCCACTGATTTAAAGGCAAAGTATGAAACGGTAACAGAGTTGATGCAAGATTTATTTAAAGTCACACATTTTTATAAGAAAAAAGTTCTTAACAAAATAATAATAATAATGTTGTAGAATTAGGTAAATGACTCTTTATGGCTTTTATAAATACGATGAATGAAATATTACCAAAAGACAAGTACAATAAAATATTTTGATTGCACAATGATACACGATGGGGAAAATGCACCGACTAATTTGGACAACGAGAAATCATGAACGTCAGCTATTTAAGACACTTTTTTTGCAAAAATTATTGTATTGTTATGGACTGTAACATCTTGTAATTCATAACAATGAGTAACACTGTATTAAAATAATCAAAAAATATAACGTTTGAAAAAAGCAATGACTTTGGACACCAAATGTACCTGCAATGATAGAATCACTCATATATGATAGACTGTAATAAATAAATACTGTAGGATACTTTGGTGTTTACTACAGTAAGCTGTAATGTATTGTAGTATAATATACCCTATAGTTGTAGAAAACTAAGTACAGTATTGGATAAAGTAATTTGTTTATAATACTATAGTTGTTATATTACTACAGCAACTATACACTGTAAAAAATGATTGTGATTTTAACAGTAAAAGACTGTAAAAATGCTACAGTAAAAACCTGTTAACGGGTTAACAGTAAGCTTCCATACTATATTCGGTGAATAAATGTAATTACATTTAATGTCATTTTACAGTAAAATACTGTTTAAAAATACGGTTTTTGGAAGTGAAAAAGAAAAAGTCATTGTATAATTTACAGTGAAAAACCGCAAATTGACACTCCCAGAATTCCCTGCATGACACACATAATATTTTGTTTTTTTGTTGAAATAACATGTTTCTTCTTAGTTTTTTCTTATGAGTTGTGTACATTAGGGTTTTATCTTATATCTAATGTTGTTAAATTAATGTTATTGCATTATTTCAGTATCACGTGTGTCACCGTGATGGGGTTTAGTGTTTGTGTGAATGACGCTGTGTGCACCTTCTGTATATAAGTATTGTCCTCCGCAGCTCGTAGAAAAGCTGTTCGTGATTAGCTTTGGTTCATCATGTGACTTTCTCATCACCACCAGTTTCTGGTGGTTATCAGTGCATTACAATGGTTCAAAACAGATATTAGCACTTCAATATTTTGGTTTATTAACATTACATCAGTTAATGAAATACGGTATTTTATTGTGAATTTAAGTTAAGTCTGTAAAACCTAAAATGTTGCTACCATATTTTTTACGAGGAAGTTCTGGCAACCGTTTTTCAATTTTACCGTAAATGTCACAGATTTTTTTTTACAGTGTAGAATTACCACAACAAATTAATTCAAGTACTTTACTATAGTATGGTTCAAAAACACTATAGAATTTACTATAAATGACTATAGTATTTTTTCATGAGGGATCTCTTTCTGTTTTGGCCTGTGATAATGTCCTTCACAGGCTGCTCAGAACACTGGTCAGCGGTGGAGATTCAGCAGAACCAGTGGAGGTGTGAACATCAGGCAGTCGAGTCTTACAACGACATTCACTTTGACCATCTCTGATGTAGTTACTTACATCGGTCAAAGGTGCTAATCAGGGGCCGGGTCTTTTCCTATGAGGCTACTATGCTGGTGGTACCTTGAAACTGGGTTTGAACGACAGGACAGGCTTGAGATATCGACTGGTCACTTATACAGTGGACAACAGCAGTGGCTTGACCAGAAAGCATAGCTAGGATGCGTTTCACATCAGAGGGAGGAGTCGATTCTTGCACTTCCATGGATCAGTCTTGCTGTAAATGTTGACTGGTATAATACGCTATAAACGCTGGTCTCTGGTGTGAGGTGTAGTGATGAGAGCCTGAGGTCTCCCAGTCAGGGAAACTACTTCTCTCCCTCTGGTCTATGACAGTAGAGCCCGGCCGATATTGGTTTTTGGGGGCCGATACCGATACCGATATTAGGGAGTAAAAAAAGTCTGATATCGATATATCGGCCGATATTCTTTATGTGTATATTATTGTACATTACCAGTCAAACGTTTGCACACACTTCCCATTCATCCCATGGCTGGTACTGTATATAGGCTAGAATACAGTATATACATAAACAGAATATATATACTTAAACACATTTTTAGCAATGATAACTCAAATGTGGTGATCAAACACGTATAATGATGTGACAAAAATATGAAATGAAGGCAGGGTATTTGGCAATTTAACAATAAACTTTATTATCCAAAATGAGTCTGACATCAGTGCACTTAACAGTAAACTTCACTTCACTTATTATAAATAACTTTAAAACTCAAATAAAGCAATAGGCTACTGTATATAACTTGAATTAAGAAAATAAATACGGTAACTGTGTAGGGCAACAAGCTACTGCCAATCCAACAGGGGCAGGTTTATGCAGGAAGCACAGCTTTGAAAAATGTTCATATCGGCGGCATATTTGCCGATATCGATATATCTGCAACAGGCTCATATCGGAAGATAATGCTCCAGGAGAAGATTTTCAAAGCAGACGAGACTCTGAGAAGAGTCCTAAAAGAGAGGAAGGACAGTGCAAAGAGAGATGAGAGGAATAAAAGATATTCGGATAAGCTAAAGGAGGACAACAGGTTCTATAGTAGTGGATACGGAGACTGGGATGAGGAAAGAGACACTGTATATCACAGGGAATCCAGAGATGATATGGAAAGATGGGAGGAATGGGATGGCCAGGTACAAAATGGAGAAGACCTTTGACCTTAGACATGACAAAGGGTCACAAGCTGGAGGAAATGAGAGAGTGGGATGAGTATGAACAACAGACAGCAAAAAGCAGGAGCAGGGAAATGAGTAACGGGCGAAGAGAGAGAAATATGGGATGGGACAATGTCCGAAGAAGGAGGGAAACACACAATCTCTATTTGCACAATGAAGATGAAGAACACTGCGACGTGAGAAAACCAAATTCATCTGACTCCGTGAGAAGAGACAGATCTCACCTCAAGCATGAGAGGAGAGAACATAAAGACGGCTCATATCGACTCGCATCGAAACTCACGAAGGAGGCCGTCCCGGAGAGAAACCCCAGACAGCGAGGAAAGCGCCTGGAGCTCAGTCTGGAGGAGGATCCCGTGATCCCGTGTGACGTGTGCCATCGGTGCTTCGCACGAGACCGTCTGGAGACGCACATGAGGGTGTGTGAGAAAAAGCGGCCCCAGCGCAAGATATTCGACATGTCACAGTACAGAGCCAAAGGAACAGACCTCGAGGAGTTCATGAAAACCAACAGCAGGAGCAAAACACCAGAAGTAAGATGCTTTCTTTTAACTCTATAAAGCCTGCTGTATCATATTTGAGACGCAAAGGCCTCTAAATGATCAAGATGAGCACGACTTTACTGATAGTTCATACTTTCTAGTGTACTTTTAGTGTACTTGTAGAAACGTCCAGCTTCAGCTGGAGCTTCACGTGTCAAATCTGGACTGGTTTTGATCAAGTAAAGGTCAGAATAACGTCAGTAATATCTCCAGATGAACACTTACTGGACTGAAGCAGCTCAGCTTTACTTGATTCTCCATCAATCATGTTTTAGAGTCTCAAATCTGATCCTCAGGATCTTTTGAGGAGCCTTTATTTCTTCAGCTCTCAATCGTTGCATTATATGTTTGGATCATTTCAATCTCATCTTACTGAGACATCAGTATGTCAGTATCTGCTACACTGTTATACAGATCTCACTGATTTACATTACAAGTATCAGAATTTCATCATATAAATATCAGCATCTGCACCAAAATTGCATATTTTTGAGTCTCTGAATAAAACTGAGCTGTTTTTTCCCTCCATTTTCTCACTATATCAGACTATATGAGCCGTAAAACCTGATCGACCAAATATGATACTCAACAAAAACACTTTTGCATTTGTTAAACACACACACACACATATGTACAATAAACAGTTCCATATCAGAAAATTATGCAAAAAAAAAAACACCATAAAATGATCATAAATGAATGATTTGTACACTTAAGTGATATGATAGTGTGAGGAACAGACTCAAATTTAAGTCAAATTTGACTGTAATTTACCTGCATATTGACCTTGGAAAATAAACATTGTCATGATATTATTTGTCATCTGCAATTTCCTAAAGGACTATCTGTGTTTTGTGGTAAACACAGCTTTTCTGTGTACTATCCGTGTCTTTACTGATGTCTTACTGTTTTTATCCACAGCTCAAGAAGAATAATTGGCGACAGAAACACGAGGCCTTCATTCAGACCATGCGTCAGGGTCAAGGAAGTGTGCCACCACAGTTAGTCTTGAACCTGAACCCAGAATATGTTAGCTGCCCTCACTGTGGCCGCAGATTTGCCCCAGGTCCGGCAGAGAGACACATCCCAAAGTGCCAGAACATCAAGAGCAGACCACCACCTCCCAAACAGCTGCACAGCGCCACCAGGAGGAAGACCACGCAGTGACATGTGCTTCAGCAACTCTCTGTTAGCAGACTCCTGCTGTTAGCGCGTTTGCATTGAACTTCAGAGCAGTCTAACATCTTTAGTGTGACATATCTATATATATATGCTGTGTGCTTATTCAAAACAACTTTGTCTGGAACACTTTAGAATAAAAAAAAATAACTACAAAAATTGAATAAAAAATCTTCTAATTCTATTAAAAGTAAATGTAATCGACAGTAAACTGATTTAAAGGAAAGATGTTTGTAAATTCAAAGTAAATCGCACATTAAAATATCCATTGTTTGCATTTTTATATAATTCCTTTGCTTTTTGCTATACAAAAATGACTTAACTTCCCCATCAGAAAGAAACTCGAGGGCCTTTAGCCCTGTACTAATTAACTAATTACACTCTTGCGGCTCATAAAATGCATTTATGTCCTCTGTAGAGATCTTTGGTTTTCAGTGAATTTCACATCCCACTGTTTTATTCCGACTGTGTCTTTAAAAGGAAAGGCAACACTGTAAGGTTACATTTTTGAAATGTTAAGTTTTTGATGTTAATGTATTTTAATTTTGACAACAATTTATGAATGTACCATTTTTTAATTCATGCTTGTTCATGATGCATTGTTGTGATATTTGTTAATTGCTATTTATGTTAATGTGGTTATCCATCCTCCGAGAGTCACTCGCCTGTCGCCATCTACTGGTGTAATGACGTAACAGAAACGAAAAGAAATCAGTAAAGACGTGTTTTTGGTAAAAAGACACTAAAGTGGTCATTGCTGGACAAAGTGTTTGAATCACATAATTAATTATTATCTTTTAAATCATTAATCAAGATATTCCAGTCGTGATACTGATAAAAATGACGCAAGTTACACAGCTGCTCTTGCCCACGGACTGCTGATTATTGTGAATTATAGCACTCGGCTTTGATATCAGTACAATTACTTCACAGGATGAAACCTCTTAGGAAAATAGTGTTGTTGTGAAGTTATGTAACAGTTCCATAACAAACAAGATGCTTTTGGAAATGTTCATTGTGTAAGTGAGCTAACATTAGAATAGACTCTATGCACGAACACTGCTTACGTATTTATCGTAGAATCTCAGCCAGCGACTTCACTTCCGTATCGCGACAGAACTCTTTCTTGACGTATTGTAAACAAGAAATAATTCGTATCTTCTAAATAAGTATTGTTAGAAGCATAAACATATATAGCATCTCATTCTAGTTATTGCTTTCTGAACGTTTAAATATTAACGGTCGAAGACAGTAGTTTCGCCAAACATTGTTGCGCTACACTCTTAAAAATAAAGGTGCTTCACGATGCCACAGAAGAACCTTTTTGTCTAAATGGTTCCATAAAGAACCTTTAACATCTGAAGAACCTTTCTGTTTCACAAAAGCTTCTTTGTGGCGAAAGAAGGTTCTTCAGATTACAAAAAGGTAAGAAAGAGATGGTTCTTTAAAGAACCTTTGACTGAATGCTTCTTTGTGGAACCAAAAATGGTTCTTCTATGGCATCGCTTAAAGAACCTTTTAGAAGGAACCCTTTTATAAACTGATTGCAGATGTTTGCAAGAAAATGTAATCTATTAAATGTAATCTACAACTAATTAAGTACCTCTAAAATGAAGTTTCTGTAACACCTGTGTTCTTTTATTAATGTATAGTGCTTGTTTTGTATGTTATTGGGCAGTTGCTGTATTGCTGTATTACACAAGTATAGTATTATGATAATTCATTCCGATAATTAAAAATACACTTACACTAAAACTATCAGTTAGACAGTTAGAACCAGAAACAGTATAACGAAGTGTCACGTGCACAAAAGATTCTGAATTTAACTGATGTTTCGAAGCGTCAAGAAGCAGTAGCTGTTAAAAATATGCTGTGTTCTAAATATCATACTACTCTTACTATTTATACAGTATCCAGTATGTATGCATAGTATGCACATTTTCTGTATGCATGGAATACCCGGATGACCTACAATACACTGCCATACAACTCCTACTGTATTGCAGTACACTGTAAAACAGGATTGTGATTTTAACAGTAAAAGACTGTAAAAATGCTACGGTAAAAACCTGTTAACTGGTTAACAGTAAGTTTCCATACTATATAGGGTGAATAAATGCAATTACATTTAATGGAATTTTACAGTAAAATACTGTTAAAAATACGGTTTTTGGAAGTGAAAAAAAAGCCATTGTATAATTTACAGTGAAAAAAACCGCAAATTGACACTCCCAGAATTCCCTGGAAGACCCTTCAAAGTTGATGTTTTTTTGTTGAAATAACATGTTTCTTCTTAGTTTTTTCTTATGAGTTGTGTACATTAGGGTTTTATCTTATATCTAATGTTGTTAAATTAATGTTATTGCATTATTTCAGTATCACGTGTGTCACCGTGATGGGGTTTAGTGTTTGTGTGAATGACGCTGTGTGCACCTTCTGTATATAAGTATTGTCCTCCGCAGCTCGTAGAAAAGCTGTTCGTGATTAGCTTTGGTTCATCATGTGACTTTCTCATCACCACCAGTTTCTGGTGGTTATCAGTGCATTACAATGGTTCAAAACAGATATTAGCACTTCAATATTTTGGTTTATTAACATTACATCAGTTAATGAAATACGGTATTTTATTGTGAATTTAAGTTAAGTCTGTAAAACCTAAAATGTTGCTACCATATTTTTTACGAGGAAGTTCTGGCAACCGTTTTTCAATTTTACCGTAAATGTCACAGATTTTTTTTTACAGTGTAGAATTACCACAACAAATTAATTCAAGTACTTTACTATAGTATGGTTCAAAAACACTATAGAATTTACTATAAATGACTATAGTATTTTTTCATGAGGGATCTCTTTCTGTTTTGGCCTGTGATAATGTCCTTCACAGGCTGCTCAGAACACTGGTCAGCGGTGGAGATTCAGCAGAACCAGTGGAGGTGTGAACATCAGGCAGTCGAGTCTTACAACGACATTCACTTTGACCATCTCTGATGTAGTTACTTACATCGGTCAAAGGTGCTAATCAGGGGCCGGGTCTTTTCCTATGAGGCTACTATGCTGGTGGTACCTTGAAACTGGGTTTGAACGACAGGACAGGCTTGAGATATCGACTGGTCACTTATACAGTGGACAACAGCAGTGGCTTGACCAGAAAGCATAGCTAGGATGCGTTTCACATCAGAGGGAGGAGTCGATTCTTGCACTTCCATGGATCAGTCTTGCTGTAAATGTTGACTGGTATAATACGCTATAAACGCTGGTCTCTGGTGTGAGGTGTAGTGATGAGAGCCTGAGGTCTCCCAGTCAGGGAAACTACTTCTCTCCCTCTGGTCTATGACAGTAGAGCCCGGCCGATATTGGTTTTTGGGGGCCGATACCGATACCGATATTAGGGAGTAAAAAAAGTCTGATATCGATATATCGGCCGATATTCTTTATGTGTATATTATTGTACATTACCAGTCAAACGTTTGCACACACTTCCCATTCATCCCATGGCTGGTACTGTATATAGGCTAGAATACAGTATATACATAAACAGAATATATATACTTAAACACATTTTTAGCAATGATAACTCAAATGTGGTGATCAAACACGTATAATGATGTGACAAAAATATGAAATGAAGGCAGGGTATTTGGCAATTTAACAATAAACTTTATTATCCAAAATGAGTCTGACATCAGTGCACTTAACAGTAAACTTCACTTCACTTATTATAAATAACTTTAAAACTCAAATAAAGCAATAGGCTACTGTATATAACTTGAATTAAGAAAATAAATACGGTAACTGTGTAGGGCAACAAGCTACTGCCAATCCAACAGGGGCAGGTTTATGCAGGAAGCACAGCTTTGAAAAATGTTCATATCGGCGGCATATTTGCCGATATCGATATATCTGCAACAGGCTCATATCGGAAGTTCTTAACAAAATAATAATAATAATGTTGTAGAATTAGGTAAATGACTCTTTATGGCTTTTATAAATACGATGAATGAAATATTACCAAAAGACAAGTACAATAAAATATTTTGATTGCACAATGATACACGATGGGGAAAATGCACCGACTAATTTGGACAACGAGAAATCATGAACGTCAGCTATTTAAGACACTTTTTTTTGCAAAAATTATTGTATTGTTATGGACTGTAACATCTTGTAATTCATAACAATGAGTAACACTGTATTAAAATAATCAAAAAATATAACGTTTGAAAAAAGCAATGACTTTGGACACCAAATGTACCTGCAATGATAGAATCACTCATATATGATAGACTGTAATAAATAAATACTGTAGGATACTTTGGTGTTTACTACAGTAAGCTGTAATGTATTGTAGTATAATATACCCTATAGTTGTAGAAAACTAAGTACAGTATTGGATAAAGTAATTTGTTTATAATACTATAGTTGTTATATTACTACAGCAACTATACACTGTAAAAAATGATTGTGATTTTAACAGTAAAAGACTGTAAAAATGCTACAGTAAAAACCTGTTAACGGGTTAACAGTAAGCTTCCATACTATATTCGGTGAATAAATGTAATTACATTTAATGTCATTTTACAGTAAAATACTGTTTAAAAATACGGTTTTTGGAAGTGAAAAAGAAAAAGTCATTGTATAATTTACAGTGAAAAACCGCAAATTGACACTCCCAGAATTCCCTGCATGACACACATAATATTTTGTTTTTTTGTTGAAATAACATGTTTCTTCTTAGTTTTTTCTTATGAGTTGTGTACATTAGGGTTTTATCTTATATCTAATGTTGTTAAATTAATGTTATTGCATTATTTCAGTATCACGTGTGTCACCGTGATGGGGTTTAGTGTTTGTGTGAATGACGCTGTGTGCACCTTCTGTATATAAGTATTGTCCTCCGCAGCTCGTAGAAAAGCTGTTCGTGATTAGCTTTGGTTCATCATGTGACTTTCTCATCACCACCAGTTTCTGGTGGTTATCAGTGCATTACAATGGTTCAAAACAGATATTAGCACTTCAATATTTTGGTTTATTAACATTACATCAGT